TAATCCTTCCTCTTAACTGAGATCCTTGGGGAAAAACACTAACTTTTGCATGTTGATCACAAATGGGAGTCACGCATTTGACCTGCATGGGAAATACAGTCAGTCAGTCACCTGAAAGTGATGTTTCCCAAAATGGATTAACGAGAGGACAGATTCACCATCTAATTAAAGGCAGTAAGCAAGCTCTCATGTCAAAAGGAGGCCCTCCAGCTCGGAAAGTAAAGAAACCTAAAGTTCCAGTGAGAAATAGAGATAGAAGGGGCCTCTATTTTGAAGGCTCTCTCTCCAACTACTTAAACTTTCATGTTAAAAATGGCCAAACTAAAAAAAGGATCCCTCCATGGGACATCTGAAGCCAGACTGATGGAGATAGCTTCAAACCATTTATTCAGTGTTTTGCTACTAAGAAGCTGCCTTTGGTCAGCTGGCCCCATCCTCATGAGGGCTCTCAGGCCAACCAGAAAATTTTATTCAGCCTCTGGTAATAGGTCTTAATAGGCCATTAAGTATCCTCAATTACTCACTCTCTATGAGCAGATAGCCCTTTGGCTGCCGATTCCCTGTCCACGAAAATGGTCCCAGTCGTTATGGTGCTTACAAATGAACACACTAGAGAACAGTACAAATTTTCATGCCTATCCATCTTCATACTCTTCGCCATTCGGTGCTGAGAATCATGCTGTAGGTATCAACCTTGTGGTTCTTATCTACACTATCTGCCCGAAGCACTCAAATGTTACAGTGACAAGAATCAGAATCAGTACTCAGCATGTATTGTGAGCAACGCACTATACTCTGATCATAATTTACACCATTTTGCCTGAATAGCTAACATTCTACGGTCTTTGTTAATCGCTGCTTTGCTTTGATTGGACCCACTAAGCATTGAGTCCACTAAGACAAAGGCATCTTTCATCGTCAGAAACAAACAGTCTCTCTGTGTAGAGTATACGAAGAGGTAAAACAAGTTAGCTTTGTAAAATGAGGTTCTGAGTTTGTTTATCTGGACAGAAGGTAAAAATTACTTCCCAATAATCCATCTTACAAAACAAGTCAGAAGTCACACAACACCAGGTTATAGTCCAACACGTTTATTTGAAATCACAGTTTCATTGATGCTAAGTATATATGTCCTGGTTATCATGGGGGTCAAGGAGCTCAGATCAAGCCTTATTAAAAGTCAGGTGCCAGGTTTAACAGCTGAACACAAGAGGGAAGCAGTTTTATGCAGATTTCAAGGCTCTGGCAGTCTGACTCGGATTTCCGAGGCAGCCAGAGAGCATGCAAGATAGACAGAGAGGCTGCTATAGACAGCAGGGGAAAAGGCTGTTCTGTTTGCTACCAGGCACAATACAGGTAGCAGCATGTTTTATGGTCACAGAAATGAAACCTGTGGAAATTCAAAGATACTGCAAAATTCACACTGGGGAGACCAGGAGATGGAATCAACAGAGTGGACCTTGGTGCTAGAAGTTGGTTCAGACACTCTTAAAAGATTCAAACAAGTAATTTTTGCTAGATATTGGATGTTACAACTCAATGAGATTGTGGGTTACTTTGGATTGGTTCCTGTAAAGTCTGTAATTCTGCAGAGAATGCTGTGGAATGTATAAACATAGCATAGCTTTATCAGCTGTGTTTAGAAATATTTAGGATATTTTCCTGTCATTTAGAGTACTAGTTGCCTATTAAGCACAGTTTTAGCAAAATTAATTTTAGTTTATTACAGTAAAAGTCTTAAAACTTAAAATCTTGTTACATGATTTTTTTAAAAATCACTCACTGGGAATTTGAATCTCAAAAAATTACTGGGCACCACGGAGATCATAACAATCTCTTGAATTGGAACTGCTCTTGCTCCTCAATCTGGAATCACAAGATCAGCATCCAAAATCAGGTTTCAACCTGAAATGTTGACTTATATGCTCCTCAAATGATGTCTGATCTACTGTGCTTTTTTAGCCTCACAGTTATAGACTCTGGCTTCCAGCATCTGCAGTCCTTATTGTCTCCAAACAATCTATAATTTTATTTGGATACTATGAAACTATATAATTACCACACCTAAATCTTTTTCCTATTTCCTATTAAACTTACATATTCTACATTTGGAACATTATGCATCACCTTAAATTAATATTAAATGATTTCCGAAATGAGCTTAGGCATTTACTAAGTCTAAACCTCTCTGAACTGCATTTACTCATAGCATCCTGCTTTCTCTCACAACTTCAGATCACACTCATTCTACTTATAATATCCTCATTAAGGCTGTTGATATTATTCACAGCATAGATGGTGGACTCTTGATGGTTGCAGCTGTCAAACTTGAACAGCAGCCATTGACAACAACTGAGTTTGTTTTTCAATTTACAGTCAGTTTCTTGATTTTACAAATTTTCACTTAACCCACAACTTAAGTGCATAATTTTTGAAAGTGAAGATTTATAATAACTGGAATATCAACCACTAACTTCATAAAATTAAATGAAATACATTTGTTGGACACAACCTATGTTTAAAATTGGTTTCAGCTTTGATTTTCTACCTATACTGTCATAACATAACTTAGATTTTTTTCTTTATAATAAACACAATGTTTCTTCCATTATGACTATCACACTAAAAGGCCTTCAAATTTTAACATCTTAGTTGTGATCCCTATTAAAGGACTATGTGCCAATGAGTTGCAATAATTTCCCATGATAGTTATCTTTATTTCTGACGGAACATAAAAAGACAATTCTGGAATGTTACATGTAGGTTGAGGACCAGAAGTCCACAAACAAGTGGGAAAGGCAGCAAACAAAGACCAAGGCTATACTTACACAAATCCAGACAGTCCAGACACCATAAGACTTGAAAGTTGAAACGGTTTAACTGAGACAATTTTGACAAAGAAAGGATCAGCAAGCTGGAGGCCTTGAGAGGCAGTCCAGGTATTCAGCTCTGGACACAAGTGATCTACATCTTCCTAAATCTGCAACTTTTAAGGCCTGACTACAAATACTGAAACAGAACCGTTATGAGGGCTAAAAGGGAGCTGTTATTTTCTTTTCCTCACAGCTTGCTGGTTAACACAATAAAACAGAAAGTTAGGAGCTTAATACTACATAACTTTATTCTAATCCATTTAAAATATTTAATTGGACGCATTTCATGTGGCACATTTTCAGGTGGAACACTAATATATCAAGGTTTTTCTCACTTCAGTCTTCCATAGATTATAATTTTATGAAACAAATCAGACAAAACTGACATGAAGCCAAAAAGGAGAATTTAGGCAGGTGACCAAAAGCTTGAGCAAAGGGATAGATTTTGAAAGAGCATCGTAAAGGAGTAGTGAGGTAAAGAGCCTTCTAACTCTCTCCAGAGAGTAATACGCCCTGTATCAGGGCTTCCCTAAGTCCGAGTTGGAACTCCAAGTGGGATACAAGCTGAAATTTTGAAGGTCATGAACTTCAAGGCAGCAATGAGCTCATGTGTAACAATTGCATCCCGCACTAACACACAGGCCCCCATTTGCTCTTGCAGTCCTCCTTTCACACACCTCTCCCCTAGGTTTTCACTTCGGGATAATGCTGTTTTCAAACCTCAAATGGGGTCAGAGTGGGAAAAATTTTGGGAAATACTGGTTTAGACAACTGAAGGCATTGCTGCCAATATGCGGTGATGCAAGTGAGGGATTAACAGGAGTCCAGAGTAGGAAGGAAACCAAGACATTGCAGGCCTGGAGGATGTCAGGGATAAAGAAGCCATAAAGTACTCTGAATATCAAGATAATAAATAAATCACCTTGTGGATGAAAGCAAATGTAAAATCAGTAAGCACAGAGATGATATAACGAAAGACTTGATACAGATTAGGTTACAGCAGAGTTTTAAATGAGCTTAACTTTATGGAGACTGGAAAACGTGAGAGGAGTCCTCCCATTTCCAAATGCAACTTGACCCTTCTTTTCATGGTACCTTCTTACTAGAACCTGATTTAGTCTTCAGTGTTTAACCATTCCCATCTCTGCCCTCTCTAAGCTATGGTGAAGAGTTATGGTCTCCGCAGTATAAAGTTGTGAATGGTGCAAAATAAAAACTGAGGGATTATAATCTGGAAAGACTGAACAGTTTATGACATTTCTACCAAAACAAAAGGAAGGCTAATGGTTGACCTGATAGAGATCTTTAAAATTCTGAAAGGACTTAATAAGGTATGCAATCAGATGTTTCCACTTTTAGGATACCAAAATTTAAGATTATAAATATTAATAGTCACTAATAAGACAGACAATAGAGAATTTGAGGAAAAAGTTCTTCACTCAGTTGTGACAATACAGAATTCACTACCACAGGAGTAGCTGAGGTGAGCAGTAGATGAATCTGAGGGGAAGCTGGATAAGCACAGGAATGAGAAAAGAACACTAACAGGATTTGGTGAAGACATGTGGGAGGAACCCATATGGAACTAAGCATACTCCTTAGGCGGGTGGACCAAATGGGTGCTTTTGTGCTGTATTTTTTGTAAAACTCATACAGACAGCAAATATTTAGGCAATCTTGATCACACAATATTTGCGGGACTGGGGAAGGATCTTCCAGTAAGAGTCACTAATAAGACAAAAGAGAATTTCAGAATCAAGTGCTTCACTCACTGGTCACAATACAGATCTCGCTAACTGATAAATCTATCAGTACTTCAGAAGAAATGTAATTGCAATAACGCAGAAATATAAATTTCAGCACTGTTACACTGATTTTCAGAATTATTACCTTTAAATATCCAGGAGTCCTCCCTTGAACCATGTCATTTCCAGTTTTAGGTAGCTGAGGTTGATCAAAGCAGAACTGAAACAGAACACTCCACACTTCTGTGGAAACTGCTAGGATCAAAAACTAAAATGAAACTCAATTAAAAGAATGATTCCTTAGCTAGATTACAATGTTTTACTAGTGCTGCAGTCACTCTTAGGTAGCAGTCCATAGTATTTATGGAAATGTGCTCCATACCTGATGAGTTTTCTTCTCAAATCCCAGCCAAATACTCCTCCATCCCCTTTGTAACGGGTGCCAGACACTACATCATAATTTCCTTCCTTTTGTTTTCTACAATATTTACATATTAAGAAAGAACATAATTATGCTTAACTTTACAGAATAGCTTGAGGTCTCTGAAACAGCAAGTAAGGAACAAAGTCAAAGTCATTCCATGGAAACTGAATTTGTATTTTCCCATTTCAAATTTCTTCACAGCTATTTCCTTCACTTCCCCAAAAACGTACCTTTTTATTGTACTGAAAAACAATGGGTGTATTCATGTGTTCTAAATGTAAAAATAATCTGAAACGTATTTGCCATATTTCTCTTGTAAATTAATAATTAAGTGGATGAAGAAGAATTTCAGTTAAAGCAAGTTTTCAACTTTTAGCAAAAAGAAAGACAATTTTTTTTTAAGTTTGTTGACAGTGCTTGACTTAACTCTAAAGGTATGTGGCACACCTACCTCCAGAAACTGTCAAGTTATAGCATGATAAAATAAAATCATACATCCAAAGCAGTCTATTTAGTCTCTGTACAAAAAAAAAGACAAGCCTTTGCTGATCCAGGAAACTCAACTAAGATAAAATAAATCTAAAGAAAACAATGAACGGAAATTGATCAGAATCTATTCAAAAACGCAACTCAGACATTAAGTTGCCTCACTATATGTTGAAATAGCACAATGGCACAGGTAACTTATCCAGGAAACTACTAAACACAAATTCCTTCTGATTTTAAAATTAATCAATTGAAATATGTAGTATTTGATAATTGAATAAATTACCACACCAAAACACAGACCTACTTTTGCAAGCAAGCCAACCAGTCAGTAAGTACAATCAGTGCGATCACCCACTGTGCTTTAGGTCATCTATTCAATAGATCAGAGAAAAGGATGTCCTCACTAAAGAAAAAAAATGCATTTTGGGCAAGCAAATGAGGTTCTGTCAGTACAACTTCTTAAATATTTCATCTGCTTTGGTAATTAATGTCATGTTTTCTGCTATGTTTAAAAATTGCAATAGATCTTTGTACACATGGGCAGCAGGTTGGTGCTCATACTGGGGGTCGGCAAAAGGCTGCAATATCGGCAGGATGAGTCCAAAGTCTTCCTCAGGGGACTAGAGTATTCCTCACAAAACAATGCTGTAAAAGGCACTTGCTCCTTAGCCCAGCAGTTTCTGTCTCCCTTTAGCTGATAGTTTTCCTAAACCCTGGAAACCCTGCGTGGCAATTGCTAGATCAGGTTCCCCACTTCACAGTAGGAACCTGATTAAATGTATTAACAGCAAGCTCTATAATAGCAGCAACAGGAACATATGCAGATAACAGAGATGAATGTAATTTTTGAAAGTTTAAACATCACTCCTCCTCATTCCTTCCAATAAACAGGGATAGGAGAATTAACAATGAAGATACTATTTCTGCTTTGAAAATTGATTAAAACAGACTTGGGAAAGCACTTTTTCATTAAGGAATGCAAACTGTGTAGTCACATATCTTTTGTTGTAACAGGAATAATTAATTCAACAATTAACTAAGAAATATTATATTAGTGTACATAAAATAAAAACTCAAGGCAACATTCATAGTATCTTAATTTTAGCAGATTAACAGTTTTGGAGATACTAACTTCATTTCATATATCTGCACAAGCAGGAGCAGTTTAATATGTTATTTCCCGAGTTATAATGCAATTAATTTCATTTACAGTACTGTTTTACCATATTAAACTATTGAGACAGAACTGAAATGTACCATGCCTATTTTGCATGACTGTATAATAGTCATGTTTTTGTGCTGAAGATGGATACAACAGCAATCTTGAATTAATTAATAAAAACCATACTGGCAAACCAAAGACTAGTTTAATTCATGTCTTATTAAATTTTTGTGATTGATTCACAATAAACATAAAACACATGTAAAATCACAGGTGTGAAATCATACTGTTTTAACTGAAAATAGATGATGATGATGATGAGCTGGTTTATTAGTAATTTATACTATATTCAAGAACCAGAAAATATTTAAGACTACAGGTTAACAATTGGTGTCCAACTAAGTAATACCAAGTTAGTTGCAAAAGCAGAAAGAATACTCACTTTATAAATTCAGGGATAAATTTTGGCTAAATGTAGAAAGGAAAAAAATTGGTTAGTTGAAAATGTTAAAATGTAAAAAAAATCCACTAAAAATGTCAAGATAAACTCACATGATGTGAAAGGTCAGCATCCATTATAAACACAAAGTTTCCAGTGGCATGTTGTATTCCATGGATGTATGCTGTTCCTGAAGCAAAAATAAATACTCAAGTAATTATGTTAGCCATAGTTCATTTTGTCAACTTAAAAAGACAAACTTTAAAAAAACATTATGACCAAAATGTATTTTTAAACTGTTTAATGTACAAAGCAGATATTGTCGATTAGTTGAATGGGACAGCCCACCAATACTATTGATGCTATTGAGTTTGAACATTTTAATGACTGTACTTGTTCATCATTAAGGACAAATAAAATGGATTCCTTGACTACATTACTGGGTCCATGGATGTTTGTGGTCTATATAAGTAATTTAGACTTGCATGTAGGGTTAATGATGAACAAGTCTGCAGATAATACAAAATTGACTGTATACGTAGAAAGTTGGAAGACTACAGAAAGTGATCGATGAACTGGTTAACTGGATAGGAAAGTGGCAAATGGAATTCAACATGGATAAATATAATAGAAGGACTTGGAGGAAGACAAACATGGCAAAAACATATAGAATAAATGGTAGGATTCAGAGAAGTGTGGGGGAATAGAGGGACTTGGAGCCAATGTTCATAGGTTCTTACAAATGTACAGAGTAGAAGCATATGAGACACTTTTCATTATTGTCTTAAGGTTTGAGTAGAAGAACTAGGAAGTTACACAACAAACGTATGAAACACTGGTTAGACTACAGCCAGAATACTGTAGATTCTTTTGATCACTCTATAAAGGAGGCAATCACAGGTGATTTACAAGGATGTTACAAGGAATAAAGTGTGTAAAGAATGAATAGGCTGATAGTTGTTTTCTTTGAACAGAGGAGGTGGAGAGGAGTTTTATCTGAAGGCTATAAAAATTTAAGGGACCTTAACAGACTGGATAGGATGGGTTTATTTGCCTCCTTAATAGAGAAGTCAATTACTCTGATTTAAGGTAACTGGAAGGGTTTCAGAAGACTTAAGGAGTATATTTCACCTCCCCCCTACCACCCTCACAGCAAGGTTTGGAACTCTGTCTTTAAGGGTGTTAGAGGCAGAAACGCTCATCACATTTAAAAAGAAACACCTGAATATACATTCAAGCTGCCCTAAGATACAGGGTTGGAGACCAAGAGCTGGAAAGTGGGATTAAACTAGATAGGTATTTTTCAGTTAGCACAGATAGAATAGACCAAATGAGCTTCTTGAACAGCTAGATGGCTTTTTGCAGTTTTCTCTTAGCAAAACTTGTTTCGTTGTTTTCTTACTCATGTCAAAATCAGATGAGCTACAGTACCAAAAGGAAATTTTGTTTAATTTATAATTATGCTTTCATATTTATGGCTGTGATACACCGTGACAAATAAATCTTGTGGTACCAGTGCACGTCTGCCACTGATTCAATGGCATAACATTGCTAATATGAAAAATTAATAATCAGAATGTAGAAAAAAAAGAGGAATTGTAATACTATGTACCAACTGCAATACGTGCAATGGGTGTTTATAATAATTTAAGTTCCTTCTACAAACATACAAACGAGAAACAAAAGCAGGCCACTCAGCTCTTCGAGCCTGCTACACCATTCAATAAGATCATGGCTGTTCTCACTTTAACCTCAATTCTACATTCCTGCACATCATTCCCATGCTAATCAAGAATCTAACTCATCTTTTAAAACAAAATTAAAGATTCTGTATCCACTGCCTTTTGAGAAAGGAAATTCTAAAGTCTCTCAACCCTCAGAGGAAAAAATGCTTCCTCTCTGTTTTAAATGGATGCTCCCTTAGTTTTAAACTATGATCCCTCGTTCTAGATTCTCCCACAGGATGAAACATTATTTCAATATCCAGCTAGTCAAGTCCCCTCAGGATCTTGTACGTTGCAATTAAGTCAACTCTGTCTCTACTAAACTCCAAAAGATTCAGACCTAGTCTTTCCTCATTGGGCAACCTACTCATTCCAGGTATTAGTCTAATAAATGTTCTCTGAACTGCTTTCAGTGTATTAACATTCGTCCATAAGTACGGTTATTAATACTGTAGACCAGATACAGTTTCACCAATGCCCTGTATAAATGAATCATTACCTCACTTGCTTCAATGCCCTTTGCAATAAACCGTAACATTCTTATAACTTTCCTGATAACTTGCTGTACCTGCATACCTTCTATGATTAGTGCACTAGGACACCCAGATCTCTCTGCAACTTCTCACCGTTTAGATAATATGCTTTTATTATTTCTGCCAAAATGGACAATTTCACACTTTTCCACATTGTACTCCTTTGCCCACCTCACTTAAGCTATCTTTATCACTCTGCAGGTTCTTTATGTTCGCTTCACAACTCATTTTCCTACTTAGACAAGATTACAGAGATAGGGAGAGATGAGGCCAAGAAACAATTTGCAAATGAGGTTAAGAGTTCAAGGCTTCAACTGTGAGTCAACACAGGTCAGCAAAAGCCTCCAAGATGAGTGATGGGCAAATGGAAATTAGTACATCTCAGCAGAAGAGGGGGAAATCAGACATTATGGTAGCTGAAATATGCAAAATAAAATATTACAAAAAAATTGGGAAGGAAAAACGTTAGAAACTCTCAGCAGATTATGCATATGAGCAGAGAAACAGAGCCAATACTTCAGATCGATAGCTTTTGATCAGAACAGAAAGAAGACTGAAACATCAGAATTTTTATCAGGATGGACAAGGTAAGGTCTCTGTTAGCATGACAGAACGGAAGGCAGGAGAATTAACAAACGAAATACTTACTAATGCAAAAGCCAAGACAGTGGTAATGGACAAATTAGTGAAACAAAGGCTGTACCCAGTTGAGGCATGAGTGGCTAAATAGCAGCCATCTCAATGCAGCATGAAGGGATAAAGCAACAAGCTAGCAAAAAAAACCTAGAAAAAAAAAGAACATGATGGAAGCACAACCTATTATCTAAAGTTGTTGAATGCAGTCTTGAGTCCCAAGGCTGTCTAGTGCTAACATGAAAACGATGTACTGTTCCTGGTGTTCCTGGAGTGTTTGAGCTTCACTGGGAACATTGTAGCAGGTCAGGGACAGAAAGGCCAGAGAGGGAGCAAGGTGGAGAATTAAAATAACCAGCAACAGAAAGTTTGAGGATGCTTTCAGATTGAACAAAGGTGTTCCACTAAGCAGTTACCCAGTCTATGTTTGGGCTACCCTGCGTACAGGAGACCACATTGTGAATAGTGAATACAGTACAGTAAACTGAAAGTAGTACAAGTAAATCACTGTTGCATTTGGAAGGAGTGTGTGCAGCCTTGTTTGATGATGCAGCACCTGTCCTTTCACCACCTTGCTTCTCATCTGCACTTGCACTGAAAGATGTTTTTGAGAACGGAAATGGTAGGTGGTAGTGACATCACTCTGGAGCTGACAAAAATGATGTAGCTGACTTTTTGAATATAGGACTGGCGGTGAGGTGAGGATGACAGAACACCTAATATGCTTCTGGGAAATTGGGAAAAGGATGAGAGAAGTGTGTGAAGTTGATCGTGAAAAGGCCCTAGCAAGCACACTGGGTAAGAATCCTCAGCTGAGGATAAAGAAAGATAAAGAAAGGAGTGTTCAAGTGGCAGGCTGTCATCAGAACTGATGTGACAGAAAAATTGAGTGAATTGAATGGAGTACCTATAAGAAGAAGAAGATGAGGAAGTGTGGGTTGAAGTAGCTGTGGGAGTGGTGGGTTTGTAGTGAATAATAGTTGATAATCCATCATCTGAAATGGAGACAGAATCATCATCGAGGAGGAGAGGAAACAGAGGTAGTCTTATGGTTTTAAGTTTATTCTGAAATGTGTTAGAAGTTGAATTATATTACTTTGATCTCGACATTCTTATGGAACAGCAAATAAAACCTCTTAGTTAGGTTAGTTCTCTAACAGAAGGAGGAAGGTGGAGGAGGAGGAGAGGAGCAAGCAAAGAGTGCAGTGGGAGAAAGCAAAAGGGATGAGTGAAGAGGGTCGAGGGGGTGTTGAACAGGGGAAGAGAGTATGAGGCAAGGGAGAAAGGAAAGTGGAGAAGAAGCAAAAAATGGAGCGAGATGAAAAAAAAGGGAAGAATATTAAGTGTAAGCTTTCACTGCATACTGGAGTCAAATCAGCTCAATCAGACATTTCTCAGCACCGCACTGATGTCCATCTTGATAAGGCAAACCGCTAGTGCGTTTCTTTTGCACATACATCAAACTCGACCTAATAGAACTGAAGGACGTATCATCAAAAATCGGAAGGCCAGGAGATTTGAGAGACTAATGTTAACACAACTGTTCATCGAGACCCGGGTAGGCGATGGCCTAGTGGTATGATCGCTAGACTACTGATCCAGAAACTCAGCTCATGTTCTGGACCTGGGTTCGAATCCTGCCACAGCAGATGGTGGAATCTGAATTCAATTAAAGAAATCTGGAATTAAGAATCTACTGATCACCATGAAATCATTGTCAATTGTCAGAAAAACCCATCTGGTACACTAATGTCCTTCAGGAAGGAAATCTGCCATCCTCACCTGGTGTGGTCAACACGCGACTCCAGACCCACATTAATGTGGTTGACTTTCAATTGCCCTTATAAATGGCCTAGTATGCCATTCAGTTGTACCAATTGCTACAAAGTCTCAAAGAAATAAAACGAGACAGATCACCTGGCATCGACCTCGGCACCGGAAAAGACAATGGCAGAAACAGCCCTGTTGGCCCTGCAAACTCCTCCTCACTAACATCTTGGGATGAGTGCCAATGTGGAAATAGGCCATTCCGTCCAACAAATTCATATCCACATTCCGAACAGCATCCCAGCCAGACCCAGACCTATCCCCTTACCCTATCCCTGTAACCCTGCATTTCCCATGACTAATGCACCTAACATACACATCCCTGAACACTATGGGCAATTTAGCATAGTCTATCCACCTAATCTGCACATCTTTGGACCGTGAAAGGAAACCGGAGCACTCAGCAGAAACCCACGCAGACACGGAGAAGAATGTGCAAACTCCACACAGACAGTCACCCGAAGGTAGCATCAAACCGGCTCCCTGATGCTATGACTGCAGTGCTAACCACTGAGCCACCGTGCCACTCCTTATAATATTGTCTGAAGTGGATCCTTTTCGATTGTCAAAGTCAGCTGGGTTATGGTATGGTGCCCTCAACATGACATGTGTATAGTCTATAGTGCCTTGCACCTGGGAAAACTGGTTATGTTGGCAAAGCCTCCTGTCCAGGCTGCGGCACTCACCTCATCATGAGGAAATGAGATTAAGCAGGTGTGATCAGCCATAAATTATATGAGTAACTGCTCTGATACTTGTGGATCAAAGGTTCAGATATCCCACACAGGTCCCCAGACATCCTTGGAAGCAGCCATTTACTAAATTACTATGCAAAGCTATCAGCTTAATGGCCACTGGGATAGGATGACCTTCCACTCCTTCAGGTCGCAAATCCCATCGGTGTAGTTCTATGACAGTGTCGCAGGACATCCTCAAATCGGTGGTGGCAATGCACCTTGCTCATCTGGAGAAAGTCCCATCAAGGATGAGTTCTGTATCTCCTTTGAATCCGGAGGGGTACTTCAGTTGTGGTTTCATTACTGGTGCATCTGTTCGTCCTTAATTTCTGTACTTTCGTAGAACTGCAGCTACAGCAGGGAGAACCACTGGATGGACTGTGGTCATGGTTCCAATGACCTCTGTGGGAAATGTGACAGCTGTCAGCATTTGCCTCTCAGCATAGTGCTCCATTCTTGGGACACAGAAGGACTCTAACAAAGAGGGCCATAGAATGTCTCTGCATGGATCTTTGACATACGGGACTTCATCCTAACGTATGCAGTCTAATGCAATTGGGGATTCTAATGCAGTACAGTTTACCACTACAGCCCCCAAAGAAGGCAGCATTGCAAAGAAGATTGCCAAATACTTACAGTCAAAGGTGAGAGGAAATCAATTCAATAACCTTCTGCAGCCCAAGAGATCTAGGATTGTCTTTGTGAACTGTGGCCAACAGGTGAGAATGTTAAGGTCACCTGTGATTATTTCTCTTCCACAGAAATTATTATAATCAGTCTGGAATGACAAAGATTGTTTGTGGCTAGGACTTTTATGCCCTCCCCCATAGCTGGGCACTGCATACATTTAACATGCGGGTATTATGAACGCACACGTCTTCAACCTGTACTGTCTAACTGCCTGATTAATGCAATTACACTTTGAAGAGCCTCACTTAACTCACAAGCGGAGCTCATGTGCTTAGACAAAAAGAAACCACTTACTCCACCCACTCTAGGTGTAGTTGCAGCCATTTTCCATCTTACATTTACAATTTGCACGAGGATAGAGGGCAACACAGGTCATGCTTGGCAGAATGAATTGTAGGCTCACCCCCTATACCTTCATATTCTCTTCTTCCTTGCACCACCTGTCAACTCCATCGGTTCTGAGCTTTTAAACATTTCCAAACACCTCTTTAAATGACAGCTTCATCTCCCAACATTACCCTTGAGCGTTGGATCTATAGCTTAAATACGCTAACTACACTGCTGCCCTGTACCCCTTCCACGCTCCCCCCCAACAATGCGCCAAAGCCAGGATGGTTGCAGCCATCAATTACACCCCTCCCTCAGTAGTCCACATCTTTCAATGCACCAACATCTCCCAACCTTGAATGTAGTGTTGCACCCTTTCACAATTTTTCTCCCCCTCAGTTGCTGCCTCCATCCCAGGCATTTTGTATTCTCCTCACCACTTAAACTTCCACATAGACAATGGAATGCTGAAACTTCTTTGGCTTTACACTTCTAATTCAACACCAATGCACAATTTTAGCTCATTTTAATCACAACTAAATTGCATGATTAAACTTTTAACAAAGTGAAGTCCATCACAGAGCCAATCTTCTCTCTAAGGTACACAACCACACATGAATACAAGTCCCCGAGTCAGCCTTTAAATTGTCATGTATGTATAGCTACACAAAATAATTTAAAGGGGCCACACATTTAAGAGTTACCTACAGTCTACAAACAAAAAGGAATGTTGGTGCCACCTACAGCCATAATTGATATGTTACAGTCAGATGTTGACACTTAAAAACTGATTTTGCCACAAGAGCCCGACATAAAAATTACAATTTGAAGTGAAAGTTGTAATCCACTAAGTATGTTAAGAGTTTTGGGAAATATGGGGTGTACAAATTTATATTCAACACTGGTCACAAATTTTAGAAAAAACATTTTGATGTTTACATTTCTTCAATATTAATCAGTGTCATGTTAAGTATAGAACAGAATTAATTTGTTAATTGATAATTAATGATATTTGCAGTTGAATTGGATGTTGATGGTTCTTCTGAGTGGATCACAGCAGCTTTCAATTGAAAAAAATCACTTTCGCTTGTGCTCTACTAAAACCAGCACACAAACTTATACAGCAGTCTTTTTTTTGTTGAGTAGCAACAATAGTTTGGCAAATCAGCTAAAGAAAACTTGAAGAGGAGAAAAAAAAAGTTGTTCAGCATGCATTAGTTCTAAAATGCATACATGGTAGTGCTATTTATAAATGTAAATTTGACAGATATTCACCAAAGATCCTTGGATAGCACTTTACAAACACATGATCACTTCGATCTGGACAGCACATACATGGGAATAGTGCCCCTCAAAGCTACTCACCATCCTAACTTGGAAATATATCACTGTTCTTTCACTGTCACCTGTTCAAAATCTTGGAATTCCCTCGCAAAGGGCATTGTGGGTCTACCTACAGCACACGGACTGCAGCAATTCAAGAAGGCAACTCACTACCACTTTCTCAAGGGCAACTAGAGACTGGCAATAAATCCTGGCCAGCCAGTGACGCCCATGTCCCACAAAAGTGTTTCTTAAAGCTCTTTTTAACTTCAGACTTTTTTCTTGTCAGCTTTGTGAGGCAGCCAAAGATAACAGAAAAAATAAAATGTTCAAGGTTGCAATCTGTGTAAAAGTGAATGTGATAAGTGAAAAAAAGAAACAGAGCAAAGAATCTTTAAGTTGTTCTGGATTCCAGAGTGAGACAAGCAGGAGCATCCTTAACTCAGCTGATCTGACTACTTAGTTTGAAGCTCAGACAATTAGAGTGTGTATATAAATAAACTATTTAAATTGGCAGAATTCAGATTTGTAAACCAGTGTGAGACCTTTTGTCACAATAAGCAGCTAATATAAAATGTTTTCAAGGCTTCTAAGATACATTTTTAGAAGTCTTTGGAGTCATTTATTATTGTACCATCAATGAACATGTAATGTCTTAGTGAATTAACAAAGACAAAGACAATGTTCATCTTTAGTGGCTAATTCATTAACATCAACTCATTATTAATGCAGAAACATCACGCAGATATTTAGGTTTGCAGAAGGCTTTATTACACAAACCTTTGACTAGCAGCATTTATTGGTCATCCCTAGTTGACAAGCTTGCTAGGTCACTTCAAAGGTCAGTTGTCACATATAAGCCAGATAGACAAGACATTATAAGTCAGTTTGTTTTTAAAAGACAATCTTATAATTTTTTTATATTATTAATGTAGATTACTAGCTCAGTAATGCTATCACCACATCAGAATACCAAACAAGACCCACTAAGCCCTGCGTAAACCAATTTGGACAATTCTACAATGCAGCAGTTTTGACCCATTTTTAACTTGAGCAATGATCAGAATGTTTTATTAATTATTTTTATTACAGGTGATAAATAATCAAGATACAAATCAAGTAACTTATGGATAAACTGCAGATTAAAATATCTTAAGTATTCATAGAAAGAGGGTGATATTATTCTTACCTAAACCCAGCTTCTTTGCCCTAGGTCTCAGCAGCTGTGAAGACATGAAATAATAATTACACAAAATTCTGACGAATTTAACCAGAAAGTCACATGTTACAGTAAGGCAAAGTTTATACAGTCCATGGTTCTTAATCAACTTGAAAGATATGGTCAACTTTGTGTAATACAAAGATTATACTAATTTAGATGATAACAGGTGGGATAGTGGTAATGCCTCTGGACTAGTAATTCTTGCCTAAGGCTAAAGTTCTTCCAACATGGGTTCAAATCCCAACATAGCAGAGGGTGAAATATGAATTCAATATAAATCTAGAACAAACAAAGTAGTGAACATGTAACTACTGTGAATTGTTTGTGGTGGCAGAGTGGCACTATTGTCTCACAGAGCCAGGGTTCGATTCCAGCCTTGGTGGATCAACCATGGCAAATAAGGGGTGAAAGGCACAAGGTGGGGGGCTGGGTCTGGGTGGGATGCTCTTCGGAGTGTTGGCGCAAGGCCATTTCTTCACGTTTTCTGCTGTCTATTTCCCTCAACGAAAGCAAGGGACTTAATTTCTGGGCCGCATCAGGGTTGAGATCAGAGGTAGACAGGCATTAAAAATAACACTGCTGGCTGACGTTCTGGTTTCCTAGCTTCATCCCACAACCTATAATGAGGAAGATCATAGAATCCCTACAGTGTGGAAACAGGCCCTTTGCCCCAACAAGTCCACACCGACCCTCAACGCATCCCACCCAGACCCATCACCCTATAACATCCCTGAACACTATGGGCAACTTAGCATGTATAATCCACCTAGCCTGCACATCTTTGGACTGTGGGAGGAAACCGGATCACTCAGAGGAAACTCACACTGACATGGGGAGAATGTGTAAACTCCACACCGACAGTTGCCCGAAGGTGGAATTGAACCCAGGTCCCTGGCGCTGTGAGGCAGCAGTGCTAACCACTGAGTCACAGTGCCTCCTCCAAGATGGTGGGGGCTGCTGCCCAAGTGTAGTGGATCGTTTGGCTTTCTCTAATCGATCTTAAGTTTCCCTTTAATGAGCCAGCTAATCAGGACTTCTAACTGGCCTCCAGGACCCCACAAACAGTGAAAGCAAATTTGATTGCCTACAAGCAGTCTCCCAGTGATAGATTGGTGGTCAGGCAGACAGGGAAGTAAACTGTGGCTACTTGAGCAGCAGAGGTTGAGAACTCTGCAGTAAGTAACGCACGTCCTACGTCCCTAAAGGCACTGTGATTGAATACTCACCACTTACCTGATTAGTAGGGTTCTAACAATACTTAAGAAACTCACACTATCCAGGACAAAGCTGCCCACTTGATTCAATCTCTGCATCACCAATTTACAGTGTTAGCAATGATGCCAAACCTACTTCCTCAGCACTTTCCAAACCTGCAACCTCTATCGCTTAGAGGAACAAAGGGCAGCAACTACACAAGAACATCACCACTTGAAGGTTCTCCTCCAAGCTACACACCACCCTGACTAGGAACTACATGTTCGTTTCTTCATCGCGGCTGAGTCAAAATCCTGGAATTCTCTCCCTAACACTGTGGATACATGTTTTTGTCTGAGAAACTCCAACATTTCAAAAATGAGGCTTTACTGAGGCAGTTACAATTGAACAACAAATACTGGCCCTGATTGGGAACCTCACATTACAGGAAATTAAAAAAAAAAGTTCTTCCTCTTCGGAGTCCCATAGGTGGAGACCGAGAGAGAAGTCAAACAGTTACTTCTTCAGGGAAAAGGCCTGGAAATTTTTAACTTCTGACTCCATCGGTGTAAACGTTGTTATTACACTCTAACCTACAGAAAATACTGGCTAGCCAGCAGAACATCATGCAATAGGGGAATGCTATTGAGTCTGAAGGAACAGTAGGATAGCAAATCTGCGTATCTTTAAAACAGAATTCTTTGCCCTTTTGCAACTGCCCATTTCTCCTGTTCGGATGAGCATGTTAACATAGCAATATTAGAATCTGAAAAAATACACAGCATTTTAGTGACTGGAATTCTACTTTATAAAGTAAAGTATTTTAATTTTAGTGAATCCAGCATGTTTAACACGACCATTTGAAACAATACACAGACCCTGGTTTTGGGGTGGTGGATGGCAACATGAGCTGGAAATTCACCTGCTGTTCCGAAAAAAACAAATTCCTTTTGTTTTAAGGCTTTTGCAAAGGAGGACCCATAGGCAAGGGCAGTCTAAGCTATGACTGTAGGACAAGAGGACTCCTGTTTCATATTACCCCACAACTATCAACCTGGCTTTCACCTGTAACAGAATGTCTTTTATTTGCTGTCTCCAGCGTCTTTTTTTCTTATTCTCTGTTTCCCAACAAAGCTTTTCTATTTTTAGATCTACCAATTGTCAAGGATAACTGTAGAACAGATTTTGATAATCACATTCATGAATAAGTATAGAAGATTTTTTAAAAAATTGGTCAGCATAGCAAACAACTCCAGCCTCCTCTTCCCTGCCTTCAATGGTTTCTCTTTACGTTGTTCACTTTTTATTAAAAATAGAAAAATCAACATTCCCCATTTACAAGAATGCTATTAGTGTTCAAGAACCCAATGAGAAAGAGAAAACCATCACTTAGTTTGCCCTGCGTTTGAGAAAGCTGGTCCACAAATGGCCAATGAAAATCAAGGAACAGGTGTAAAATACACGTATAACTGCAACTACCTAAAAATGGCCCTCTTCCGCTATGGACAAATAAAATGACTGATTTCAAAAAGAAAGGCAGGTTTAAATAAAGATATGATGCAGGACATTTATTTCAATTGTAAAGTGTGCACATGACTGAAAGGAAGCATTCCGTGGAAACACAGACATCAAAGACTTTATGAGCTACTCGTTTTATTTATAACTGAATGTCCTTAGGATGATTATTTCATTTTTAGAGAATTCAGAATGCAGTTTAAAAGGGGCTAATGCATTTTCTTTTTTTTTCTTGAATGCTGGACTAACTCCATCATGGCCTGATCCCAGCAGATTTCCAGACTTGACAGAAAAATGAGTCAAAGATGGATCTCCAAAACTACTGCCTCAATTTTGGGAAGTGTTCTCCCATTCTCCCAGCTGCAGCGCATGATCTTTCATCAACTCTTCTTATGAAAACAGTGCTTCATTAGCTCTAGCTTTGTCAAGGTAAATATAAATGTTGATGGTGAAATGCAACGTCATGGGGAAATGGTGAATAAACATTAACTGGGAGCTCCACTAATTCTATTTTATAATATACAAATTAAGAAGAGTTGGCCACTGACTCTTCAAGCCTGTCTGGTCATTCAATAAGATCGTAGTGGTTCTGATTTTATCCTCAACTCCATGTACATTACGATATCCTAGCAACCTTTCTCCTCTTTACTCAAAAACACTGTTCCGAGATTATGGTGCAGTTTTGCACATCTCATATGCAGACCATCAAGGTCAAAAGAAGAAAACACAAAGAAAAAGAGCATTGTTTTCTCCCTTTTACAAATCCCTGTTTAAGATTAAGTACTCCCATGTCAGGAATGACTTAAGCTAGATACTATTAAGAGAATTTTGTATATTCCTCCTGCAATGCACCTTAATCACAAACTGAAAAAAGTCAACCCACTAATTAGGTACTTGTGTAGGCTTTACGCTCAGAAAGGATTAATCAAACATCAAAGGATATCCTTATTGTTGCATGTAAAACAAAAGAGCTGTGGATGCTGGAAATCAGAAACAAAAACAGAAATTGCTGGAAAAGCTCAGCAGCATCTGTGGAGAAAAATCAGAGTTAACATTACGGGTCGAGTGACACTTCCTCACTTGTGTGTTCAGTTCTGGCCTCCATATTATGGGAAGGATATTATTAAGCTGGAGAGGGTTCAGAAGAGATTTACTAGGATGTTGTCAGGACTGCAGGTTTGAGTTATAAGGAGAGGCTGGATAGGCTGGGATGTTTTTCACTGGAACAGAGGAGATTGAGAGTATATATATGGTGAATGGCAGGTGGCGTTTCTCCAGAGTGGGGATTTTAAGACTAGAGGACATATTTTTAAGGTGAGAGGAGAAAGATTTAAAAAAGACATGAGGGGCAATTTTTTTTTTTAAAACACAGTGTGGTCCATGTGTGGAATGAACTTCCAGAGGAAGTGGTGGGTGAGGGTACAGTTACAAGACAAGACATTTAGATAAGTACATGAATAAGAAATGTTCGGAGCGATATGGGCCAAGCACAAGCAAGTGGGACTAGTTTAGTTTGGGATTACGGCATGGACTGGTTGGACCAAAGGGTCTGCTTCTGTGCTGTATGACTCTACGACTCTATTAGTCTAATACAGCTCTTTCAAAACAGTGCTTTAGTACCCAGCAAAGGACAGACAAGAAACAAATAAAGGAAAGAGAAAAAAAGAGAGCATAAATGCAAGTTAGCGCAGAACATATTGAAGAAAACATATGGAAGAAAAAGGATTAGCAAGGATTTTTGACAGCCCAATACAGGTGAGGACGGGAGACTTTATGGTGGAGATCAAGGAAATGGTGGAGAAATTAAACGGTTACTTTGTTACTGACTGCACAGAAGACAACATAGAAATTTTCTCATGAACACGAGGCAGCCAAAGGAGTTGTTTAACTGAAGACCTAAGATAAATCTTCTGGACCATATTAACTTCATCCCAGAGTGTTAAAGGAAGTAGCAATTGAGATAGTGGATGCATTAGTGATTATCTTTCATAATTATACAAATTCACGAAAAGTTCCTGATGATTGCAAAGTAACAAGTATATCGTTACTATTTAATAAGGGAGGAAGAAGGAAAGTAAAGAACTACAGACCTATTAGCTTGACATCAGTAATAGGGAAAGTTTTAGAATTCATTTTAGAATGGCACAACTGGGCAGAACCAACATGGATTTCTGAAAGGGAAATCATGTTTGACAAACTTGGAGTTTTTTTTTAAAAGAAGATGTTATCTGTAGCATAGACTGAGGAGAATCAGTGGATTTGTGTATTTAGATTTTCAGAAGACATGATAAAATATCACACAAGGTTAGAAAATAAAACTACAGCACACAGATTTGGGGAAATATAAATGAGCATTCAGTCACTGAATACAAAAGACAGTAGAAATAAACAGATCATTCTCAACATGGCAGGCTGCTACTAGTGGGGTACTACAAAGGTCAGTGCTAGGTTCATGACAGTTCACAATCTACATAAATGATATGGAAATGGGGACCAACTGTAATATTTCCAAATTTGCTGATGGCACTAAACAGGGTGGTAACACAGGTTGTAAGGAGGGCGAAAAGAGGTTTTGAGAGAACTTGAGCAGGCTAAGTGAATGGGCTAGAACAATGATCTCCAACATTTTAAGCACAAGATCACTGTTTGAATTTAAGTGCAACATAAATCTACCCAGAAGGAAATACCGAATAAATGGTTTCTTTTTCATGCTACATAATCTAAAACCATAATTATTCATTTTGTCCTCTGTTCACCAAGTCTCAATGTGACACCTGTGACTGCACTTAATCTGCCAGTGCCTTAAAGTGTGGTTTGTAGTTTGAGGCTGCTAGTGGTATACAGTCCATCAAATGGGCATCTGAGGAGGTTGCAATATTTGGATTTGATTATCTTCTTTTGAAAAACGCTGTCTCACAGGAGGTATGTGAAATCAAAGTTAGCTTTCACTTTAAAATTAAAAGGTTGACCGGAGTGGGTATTTCTCTCTGTTTACAAATTCTCAAAAATCACTGTCCCTTGATCTGGCTTTCAGCTCAATATCATTCTGCACAGCAATTATCTCGATATCAACTCCACAGCTTTATAAATCATAAATGTGATGGAATTTGGTAGCCAACCACCACGGTCTACTTGAAGGAATGGATTTGAAACAAACAGGATAATTTGTTCGATCACATCTAATTCCTGAACTCACCTGTTAGCAAAGGAATTTGACTTCCTCAGGTGTGGGCGATATTTTCTGGAGCATTTCAGACAGTTCCAGGAGTATAGGAATTGCCTATCAGAAAATTCAATTTCCCAAACAATTTCGTCAAAGCATGCTAAAATGGGGATTCTACAGGGTCCCCATGTGCATCTCCCATCTAAAATGGAACAACAAGTCTGAACATTTTCCCCCTAGTATTTTCCCCAGACTCAATGTTCCAGCAATTTTTCTTTTTAATTTGGAGGATCACAGACTCAGTTTCAATTTGAAGGCATTCACAGCACTGATCACATTGCTGTCTTTGCTTTTTTTTCCCCTGTACATCATAAGGTCAAAGCTGAATGAACTGAATTGTGTCTGTAAGAAACCCGAAGTCGAGCAACCATGCATCATCTGATAGCTCACTGTACACTTCATTCCTCAATTTTAAAAAAAGTAACAATTTCTTGCATTAGGACTAAAAATCTTTGCAGGACCATTCCTCAATGTCACCACCTCAGCATGAAGAACTAGTTCACCGAAGGTAGCATCTAGTTCATCTAGTAAAAATGTAAACAAACAGCACTGAAGGGTACAGCTTAACAGAAAAACTTATGCATGGTGGCTTTCTGATGCAAGAGCCTCCCTTGCCCTCAAGAGTTTGGAAAGTGCTAGTTGAGGAGGCTTCATGAATTGCTGAAGTACATCTTGCAGATGGTACATGTCACTACTATATCACTGGTGGTATAGAGGATGAATGCTCAAGGTGGCAGATCAAAACCACTTGTGGGTGTGAACAATACAGCGAGAAACCCTTGGATCTCTGGAAGGGTGGTGGTATCTCTCTCTCTCTATTCAGAGAAATAACTGACGGCAAAGAAAGCCAGCTGTTTTCTCCTACCAGCTCCTCGGATTCTCCTTCAAAAAAGTGAAAGAGCCTGAAAGAAAGGCTCAGAGAACTAGAAGGACTTGGGAAACAAAAGGAACACCTTCAACAAATCCTGAGGACAGGTCCCAATGAACTATTTCTCCACTAATTTTTCTCTCCATCCATAAAATCAACAGGTCAATGTTGTTTACCTGTGGTTAGAATCTTGTTAAGTTCAGAAAGCTGGTCTGTGGTTTCTGTTAACCTGAGTCTATCAAATAGGTAAATTGGAAACTCAGTATATTCTGATAACATTTTAATTTTTGTGACGACTTCAGGAATAGTGGGGCTTGATTTCCAGCATCATACCACAGCGGAAATAACAGCTGTGTGCTGGATTGTATTAAGCTGCTAGAGTGTTGTTGAAGATGCTCTCAGTTAGCCAAGGGGACAATATTCCATCACACTCCCAACTTATACCTTATAGGACTTTGTGTACTCACAAAAAAACACAGAAGGTTTGCATGCAGGAACAGTAATTAGTTAGGAAGTCAAATGGCATGTTTGCCTTTATTACGAGAAAATTGATGCACAAGAATACGTAGCATTGACACATTTGTATACAGCTTTGGGGAGACCACAACTAGAGCACTGTGCATGGCTTTGGTCTCCATACTTAAGAATAAATATACTTGCCTTGAAGGCAGTGCAGTGAAGGTTTACTAAATTAGTTCCTGGAATGAGAGGGCTCTCACATGACTGGAGGCTGAGCAAAGTAGCCTATATTCTCTGAAATTTAGAAGAACAAAATGTGATCTCATTGAGCAGCAGCAGAATCAGCACACAGGAAATCAGCCAATCCAAGGCATGGAGTTAGTATGCTTTGAAAACCTCTACTATTGGTCTGCAATAGTATTTATTCCAACACCTTCCAGGATTAAGTAAAGAGGCCCACATGACAACATTTTTCTACCTTCTTTGTATTTTTAGCTATCAGGTCCAGGTGCAACTTCCCCTTTCTACAAAATACATTATAGAATTCAGGATAATTTTAGGTGAACATGTCTGAGAGTTAGAAGAAATTTTTTTACATTGAACTGAAGCATGGGTAAAGCTGCAATTTTGTGCAGTGAATGATAAAGTAGTTGATTCTCTCAAAAGAGAACTAAGTATGTTGTGATTGTGAAATAGTTTAAATCTAGGACAAAATGACAATAGGAACGGTTTCTTAGGATGACAAATTCAGAAGGAACTACAGATAGGGACTAACTACTGTATCACAAAAACACCAGATGGAACTACCGTAGCTTGATAACCTTGAATAGCTAAGTGGCCTAGCCTCATTCCTTACATTCTTATGTTCTTACTGCCACAGTATAGCATTTCTATTTCCCATAAGAGCTATCCTCATGGCCTCTCTAAGTGAAACTGCCAGTGAGTGTCAAATTATGGGGTGTTCTGTTCTACCAACTTTGGCCACAAACTCAGTTCCCTTGGAATCTTCAGCAGTTGGCACAGAGAGATCATGTTTTATTCTTCTTTGCATTGATTTCAAGAGAGTCCCAGGGATAAAAGGATTACACCACCCAACAGACCACCCAGTTCCTTGAAGAAAAAGACTGAGCATATATAGTTACTACACAGATACTGCCCAAATACTTACAATTTTATCAGATCCGTAAATCATTTCCAACTGTTTGGCAACCTCAAGTGTCCCATCGGGACTTCCATCATCAATCACTATAATTTCATAATCAAATCCACTGCAAACAAGAACAGAAGACATCATTGAAATGCAAAGCTTTACATGGCAAAACAATCAAATTTTAATCAAACAAAAATGGGCTTTTCAGTTGCAAAAAACTGGCGGGTTTATGACATGATGGCCTCGCTGTAGTTTTAAATTGAGGCTGAGCAGGATGGCTACAGTTGTTTCCCACCAGACTGAACCAATCAGAGCACACTAATGGCAGAACAGTCTAAAGTAATATTTATTTTTCTGTCTTTGATTTGTAAGGCCAGGTGCAACAAGAATGCTCTACGGCGCCCACAAAGATAGTTTTGGCCATACTTGCCCTGGGCCACCTTTGAAAGAAGATCCACCTTTTTCTAAATTGCTAAAATAGCTCTTTCAACACTTCTACTGCAGCTGATGAATCTTCAGCTTTCCCCACCACCCCAAAACCTGCTTCAAAGTGCCTTATGAGTGGTTTCAAAAAAAAAAATGAACTCACGTTCATTGTGAATTTATGAAACTCTATTTTGAAAAGAAACTTTCCAATGCTGAAAATTATATGAATTTTTCATAACATCACATAAACTCAACATTCAGGCAGAAAGATCACCTGGTCCATCAAGCCCAGCCCATTCAGACAATATGCGGATATTTCACTTTTTAAAATTCATTCATGGTATATGAGCAATGCGAACTGAACCAGCATTTATCAGCCATCTCTAATTACCATGAGAAGGCAGCAGTCACCTAACTCGAACTGCTGCAAACCTTGAGGTGGAGGTGTTGATAGAGAGGGAGTTTTAAGAATTTTGCCCAGTGGCGATGAAGGTGCAGTAATGCAGTTCCAAATCAAGACGGTTTGGAGGTGACATTTCAGGTGAACGTTTAGTATTTTGTTTTATTCATTCAAAGAATGTTGCTGGCTAGGCCAGTATTTATTACCCATCCCAAGTTCAGAGTCAACCATGTTGCTGTGGATCTGGAGTCAAATGTAGGCCAGACCAAGTAAGGATGGCAGTTTCCTTCCCTAAAAGACATTTGGTTCACTAATGGGTTTTTCCTGACAATCAATAGTGGATTTATGGTCATCATTAGACTCATAATTCCAGATATTTATTGAATTCAAATTCCACCATCTGCAGTGGTGAGATTTGAACCCAGGTTCCCAGTACATTACCTGGGTCTCTGGATTAACAGTATAGTGATAATACCACTAGGCCATTGCCTCCCCTAGTTGGTGGTGGTCGTGATGTTCCTCTGTACCTGCTGCCCTGGTCCTTCGAAGTGGTAAAGTCATGGATTTGGAAGATACTGTGGGTGTAGTCTTGGTGGGTTGCTTTAGTGTATATTGTAAATGATACACACTACAGCTGTTGTGAATAGGTGGTCGACAGAGTAAGAGTCAAACAAACTGCTTTCACGCATCCAAGCAAGTGGAGAGTATTCCATCACACTCTTGACTTTTGCCTTATAGATGGTTGCCAAGTCATGGGGAGTCAGGAGGTAGCTTACTCAACACAGAATCCCTAGCCTTGCCCTGCTCTTGTAGCAACAGTACTGACTGGTCCAGTATGGCTGGTTTAGTTCAGTTTTGTGCCAGTGGTAACCCCAAGATGTCGAGAATGACAGATTCAGCGATGTTAATACCATTGATCATCATAGTTGATGGTTAGATTCTCCACTGTTGGAGATGGTCATTGTCCTGCACTTTTGTGGCCTAAATGTTACTTGCCACTCATCAGCCCAAGTTTGGATGTTGTTCAGGTTGTGCTGCATATGAATATTGGCAGCTTCAGTATCTCAGAAATAATGAATGGAGCTGAAGATAGTGCAAACAACAACAAACAGACTCCTTTCTAATTTATGAGTGAAAGGAGGTCATTGATGAAACCACTGAAGATGATGTTTGAACCTAGGTCACTAGGTGAGGAACTCATACAATGATTTCCTTGGATTGAGATGACTGACCCCCAACTACCAAAAGCATTTTCCTTTGGACTAGCTATGATTCCAATCTGGAGAGATACAACTGAGTGGCTTATTAGTCCACTTCATAGTTGACAACAATGCTGAGAGGCTGGGATCACATGTAGGTCAGACTAGGTAAAGATAGCTCATTTGTTACCTGAAGGACATTAGCAAATCTGATGAGTTTTTACAACAATTGACAATGGTTTCATGGTTGCCACAGACTAAATTTTATCAACTAAATTGAAATTTCCCATCTGCCACCGTGAAATTCTAACATACGTCCCCAGAACAATAGCCTAGAGCTCTGCATTACAATCCCAGTGACATTACCACTATGCCGTCAGCTCCCCGCCACTCTAGTCATATAATCATCCGGGAGATGAAATAAGCTCGAGCTCAATTTCAGAAAAATTCCTCTTCAATTCCCCTAGGCCATCAAGCAAAGCTGCAGAAAATCAATATAGCTTACAATGCCCATTATTCTCATCAATCTATATCTGAAAATGGTCTCCTTTATCAGGAGCTTTTCTATTTAAATGGGAGTTCAGAGAATTCATACTTATCATATACTCTGGAAAACTATCCTAGAGGACTATCACTGTGGGAAAAAGACATCCTTCAAACTACTTGTTTACATGTTCTTTACATATCATAGAAACCCTGCAGTGTGGAAACAGGCTCTTTGGCCCAACAAATCCATACCGACCCTCCAAACAGCATCCCACCCAGACACATCCCACTACCCTTTCCGTGCAATTCTGCATTTTCCATGGCTAACACACCTAATCTACACATCCCTGAACACTATGGGCAATTTAGCATGGCCAATCCACCTAGCCTGCACATCTTTGGACTGTGGGAGGAAACACACGCAGATATGTGGAAAATGTGCAAACTTGACACACACAGTTGCCTGAGGGACACAGATAGTTCCAAAGTTTCCTCCCATCCCAGTGTAACTCCCCATGACCAATTTTCTTCTATAAAGATAGCCCCAGCTCAAGACTGGGTATCATGTTAGTTGCTCTCGTTTATACTTTATCTACAGGCTCAACACTGTTATTGGCCCATGGATAAAAGATGAACATGCTACTCCAACTGCTAGTCTAACAAAGCCTTGTACAAACTCAGTAATGATAAAGCTATTGTGTATTGTTCAAGCCATTCAACTCAAAACAACATTTTATTTCCCAATGGCTCATCATACTGATCCAAATTTTGCAGTCAGTCGTGTGCACCACTGTGCTTGGGGAAAAAGAAACTTCCCACAAAGATCCATCAAGCCTTATGGCACGTTTTCACCGTTTTAGAATGGTCATTTAAAATCGGATACCAGGTAAAGGTGATGGCTTGGTCTACAGCAGCATGTTGTCAGCAAGCAGGGTGAGCAGCCAGTCATATCGAAGTGTTCTTTCACACAGTTAATCAGCAAATTAAAAGCAAATGAAATCCTCCATTTTTATTTAAATGTTCAGATAGTAAAATAAATGCATAACTGTTTAAAGAAAAAGTAAAATAAAGATAAACTTTATTTTTTTTAAATAACTGTGGAAAAAATTGGTATTCCAGAAATCTGAATTAGCTTTTCACGACCAGTGTTTAGTAATAACAATAAAGTTAGCAGATCATTAAAAACCCACTTACACCACTTCCAAAAATTAATTTTTTCAAGGGTTTTTACAGTGAAACTAATAGCTTTTAAATGGAGCACTTCCCCATTTCATGATTGCAAGGAAGACTGCACATTGTGGGAATCTTTACATCATACCCCAAGGAGGAATACAGACAGCAGCTTCTGAACTTTAACATTACTTTGCGCATCCTCAGATTCCCAAAGTTGCTGTCAGTTTCAATGATATAACAGCAGTGTCAATACAACAGCAAAATCCATGTCATTTCTATGGATCTTCAACAATGTATAAGCTATGACCTCAAGTTGACTCTCCGGTTTTATAATTTTTAAGCAGGTACTGCTGCACATGCCTTGGGAATCTCAGACACAGATGTATAACATTGTACTTGTCCACACTGAAGAACATCTGTCATAATTGGGCCTATTCTCTCACTTTATCTAAATTAGCTTATTTATCTATCTAAAATCCCAGGTCTTGCGCATATTATTGTATCATCTGCAAATGAGTGGATGATTTCATTCATGTGCTTATCAAAATATTAACAAAGATTATAAATAACAAGGACCACAATAAAAATTCTTCTAGAAATCTGTTCTTGATCTGGTCTTTGTAGATCTATTTCCATTGATAACTGCATGCAAGTTTGGTGCCATTTGAGAAAGAATGTTATGGCAATGGAGGAAGTGCAAGAAAGAATTCTAGATTGATTCCTATAATGGCAGGACTGGGCTATGAAGAAAGATTGGATCGGTTCAGACTATATTCACTGGATATTAGAAGAATGAGGGAGGGAATCTCATAGAAACCTATAAAATTCTAACAGGACCAGAGAGGTTAAATGCAGGAAGGACGGTTCCGATGACTGGCGAGGCCGGGGGTCACAGTTTAAGGATATGGGGTATGCCACTTAGGACTGAGATGAGGAGAGAGTTCTTCACCCAGAGAGTGGTGAGCCCGTGGAATTCTCTGCCATAGAAAACAGTTGAGAGCAAAACATTGAATGCTTTCAAGGAAGAGTTAGATTTATTTTTGATAAGCACATGAATGAAATCATCCACTCATCTGCAGATGATACAATAATATGCGCAAGGCCTGGGATTTTTAAGGGCTAAAGGGTATGAGGAAAAAGCAGGAACAGGGTACTGAGTTGGATGATCAGCCATGATCATACTGAATGGCACTGCAGACTTGATGGGCTGAATGCCCTACTCCTGCTCCTATTTTGTATGTTTCAATTTTCTTTTTTGACATAATATCTGACCACCAATTCCAATCAGGAGAATGACAGAATACTCACCACTTGCATCGATAGATACAGTCACCACAAAGCATTGAAGAAATCATGTGGTCAAGCAACCATGGGTTCAAAATTGAACATTCCAAATTGACCCATAGACAGAGAAATCAGGCCTGACAGAAAATT